CTCCCTCTCTCTCTCCTCTCGTCCTCTCTCTCTCCTCTCTCTCCTCTCTCTCTCTCATCTCTCTCTTCTCCTCTCTCTCTCACTCTCTCTCTCTCTCTCTCCTCTCTCTTCTCTTTTCATGGTGTGGGTTTTTTTGTTTGGTGGGGTGGGGGGGGCGGGGGGGCGGCGGGGTGGGGGGGGGCGGCATTGCTTGTAATTACGGTTGCGGTCTGGGGCCGCGCTCCGAAAAACAAACTTGGCAGGAAACCGCTGCTATCAAAAAGTGTCATGACGACCTCGATGCAGCTCGAAATTCCTGCCGCCAAAACGCTTTTGGGGCGCATGCAACGCACGCGCAGGAAGTAGTGGCCAAGATGGGGCCCTGGCACGGCCGAACTCAAACGAATTGCGCCGCAATCGGAAACGATCAGAATCGCTGCCGCGCTAACACTGCGACCAAGTGCAATCGCACGCAAGCCCAAATTGATCAGCGACAAACGCCACGCTACAGGGGGCGCAGCTCCAAATTTCAGGACCCCCCACTACCGCCGCCACCACCACCACCACTGCCCCCGCCCGCCCCGCCCCGCCACCACCACCCCGCCCAGCCCGCCCACCCGCCCACCACCACCGCCACCGACGCCGACACCCACCACGCCACGCACGCACGCGCACGCTCGCACGCACGCACGCACGCGCGCGCACGCACGCGCGCCAAACACAGGTCCGCTACGAACGCTACTTCCACCGCGCTTAGCGTGTACAGGGATGGCGCCTGGGCGGCGGCTCCCAGGGCCCCACTAGCGGAGCCCCGCGCGGGGCTCCAATGGTGGGCCCTCGCGCGACGCTGGCCGCGACGCGCCGAACTGTCATGAGCCCCGGCCGTGACCGCAAGAGAGGCGGCTGCGCCGCTTTCTCCGTCTCGCCGTCTCCGGCCCAGAGGCGGCCACCCGCAGGCCGCCTCTGCCTTACATTGCACGCCAATCTCGCACCTCCGACGGTTGTCAGCCTTTCACGGTGGCCCGCCCTGCAGGCGCCCGCGAAGGCAAAGAAAAAAGGAGGCGCAGGAAGCGGAGGAGGAAGAGGAGGAGGAGGTGGAGGTGGCCCCAAGACGGCCCCCTAGAGGCCCCAGGAGGCGAACCACGAGATTTCAACCAACACCCGTGAGGCTTCTCTGACCCATCACTCAGGCACGGTGGCGGATGGGCCGAAGGCCACTAGATAGTGGCCTTCGGACGGAGTGGTCGATGAGGAATGTGCCAAATTTCAATTCCACCTCTTACTCACCACAGCCTTCCTTCCCAAGGACGTCCACAGCCTTCCCAAAACACGCTAAGTGAGGCGAACTAGGTTCCACGCTAAGTGTAAGACACTTAGCGTGTATAGACATTTTTCCCAATACACGCTATACATAGATACCTGACCGTATGTTGTCATCGTTCCGAGGCGCTCCACCTGGTGCCCCGCGCTAATCTCCTCCTTTCTGCCTGCCCGTGTGTACGTGTGGCTCCGCGTCCACGGTGTCAGGGCGTGGGGGCGGGGGGTGCCCCGTCACTGCGCGCCGCTTAGCGGCCAAGCGCCCAACTGGCGGTCCGCCAAGCCGCCTAGCCACGTGCCAGCACGTCGCCTTTCTTGTTGGGGCCTTTTACCTCACGCGGTCTGTCAGGTGAGATCTTCATCGTCTGTCCGCCGTCTGTAGCGTCAGTCGCACTGCGCCGGGGGAGGGGGTTTTGTAGCCCGCCCTCGTATCTTAAGGCTGCACCGCCGCAAATAGTGCTTGCGAGTTGTCGCACCGCAGTGCGCCTCGCGGACGGACCCTGGTCCGCCTACTTGTCCGATCTCTCTCTCTCTCTCTCTCTCTCTCTCTCTCTCTCTCTCTCTCTCTTTCTCTCCCTCTCTTTCTCTCCCTCTCCCTCTCCCTCTCCCTCTCCCTCTCCCGCTCCCGCTCCCTCTCCCGCTCCTTCTCTCCTTCTCTCCTTCTCTCTCTCCTCCTCCTCCGCCTCCTCCTCCTCCTCCCTCCTCCTCCTCCTCCGCCTCCTCCTCCTCCTCCTCCTCCTCCTCCTCCGCCTCCTCCCTCCTCCTCCCCTCCCCTCTCCTCCTCCTCCCTCTCCTCCTCCTCCTCCTCCTCCTCCTCCTCTCTTCCTCCTCCTCCTCCTCCTCCTCCTCATCCTCCTCCTGCCTCCTCCTCTCCCCTCCTCCTCCTCCTCCCCTGCCTCCGCTCCTCCTCCTCCTCCTCCCCTCCTCCTCCTCCTCCTCCTCCTCCTCCTCCTCCTCCTCCTCCTCCTCCTCCGCCTCCTCCTCCTCCTCCTCCTCCGCCTCCGCCTCCGCCTCCGCTCCGCCTCCGCCTCCGCCTCCAGCCTCCGCCCTCCGCCTCCGCCTCCGCCTCCGCCTCTCCTCCTCCTCCTCCTCCTCCTCCTCCTCCTCCTCCTCCTCCTCCTCCTCCTCCTCCTCCTCCTCCTCCTCCTCCTCCTCCTCCGCCCCGCTCTCCGCCTCCGCCTCCGCCTCCGCCTCCCGCCTCCGACTCCGCCTCCGCCTCCGCCTTCGCTCACCGGCCCCGCCTCCTCCCTCCGCCTTTTTTTTTGTGTGGTACGGGGTTTGATATTTTATTGTGGATTTTTATTATGGCGTTTGTTATTTACCGTCCTCCGCTTCCGGCCTCCGCCTCCGCCTCCGCCTCCGCCCTCCGCCCTCCGCCTCCGCCTCCTCCTCCTCCTTCCTCCTCCTCCTTCCTCCTTCCTCCTCCTCCTGCTCCTCCTCCTCCTCCTCTCCTCTTCCTCCTCCTCCTCCTCCTCCTCCTCCTCCTCCTCCTCCTCCCTCCTCCTCGCTCGGCCTGGCCCCGCCGAGCCCGCTTCGCCGAGCGGCGCTGGCGCATCTCGCGAGCTTCCAGCCGCGGGCGCCGGGTGCTACCCGCCGCGGGTCCGATGGCCGAGAGGGTGGCCGCCTGGAGCTCCGTGCCGGCGTTGGCCTCGAGCTACGACCAACGCCGCTCGCCCTTCTCCACCACCTCGGGTCCGCGATGTCAAGGAGGTCCCCGTCCACGATCTCGGCCGCGTCGGCCGCGTCGGCCGACTCGGCGCCGAGGATCTGGAAGAGGTTGCTCTGCGAGGAGCCCGCGCCGACTCCGCTCGATGCATCGCTGCGGCTGTCCCTGCCGGGAGTGCGCCCGCCAGTCTTGGCGAACTCTGGCGCGAGCTTCTCCTTCCACGCCTTGGGCGGCTCCGCTGCTTCAACGGCCGCTGCAGCTGCCGCCTCCTCGCACTCGTCAAGCCAGCGCTGCGCCTCATCCTCCCTGTCCACGCAGCTCTGGAGCCACGCCTGCGCCCCACGGCATGCCCCCCCCCCCCCCCCCTGGCCGAGATGGGTGCCTCGAGCAGCTGCCGCTGCGGCTGCGGCGCTGGGGCCTGCTGCGGCAGCAAGGCCCCCGACCAGCGCCTCGGACTCTGCCTGGCCAGCGCCGCTGGGCCCGACGCGAGCCCCGAGCTGCGCCGAGAGGCCAGCGGCGGCGA